ACAAGAAATCAATCAAGTTGCAAATTCAGGTGCATAGTCCGTTCAGGAAGACATGAGAGTCACGAGTGTCGTTGCTACTCATTGCTCATGACGCGGACGGCAGGTACAAAAGCTCATTTCACAGCAGATCTGTTGGGTTGATCTTGCGGAACGAAGGGTGTTTGCGCAAGGGATATGCGTGGCTTGCGGCACTATTTCCTCAAATGCCGTGGTGAAGCCGTAAATGCACATGCGAATTAGAAGTGAGAAATACCCTCACTTTCCATCTTTGGGACGCGCTTGCGCTGTTCTCCTGTGACTCGCTGTGAGGGTGGATGGTGCGCAAATGCTGAAATGATCAGCTCTCCGCTATCCTAATTCGCATCGCGCCTGCTGGCTCACCTTGATTCTGCCGATGCCGTCTTCCGCATTCTGTTTGATCCACATCAAGGAGCGAACGCCCTTGACTTGAGCCGCACCCTTGTGTTGCCTCGCCAGGGACCTCTGCTTAGCCCGTCTGCCCTCTGGGCTGGTGGGATCATTGTCAAAGTCCATTGCAGAGTCTCTAGACCTGTCCCACTCTTCGTCAGACTGCGCCGCCTCTGCTTCCTCCTCGTACAAAGCATCTTCATCGACCTCTTCCCCTGCTTCGTTGCGCCCTTTGCCTTTGCCTTCTGCAACGGGTACCGAGACCGACCGCTTGTGCAGAGAATTGCTGCCCTCGCCGTTGACAGCGGTGTCGACGCGTAGCGAGTCCGGAGGCATGGACATTCTCTTGTTGGCGTCACTCGCAGCCTTTGAAGCCTTTGGTGAAAGATCCCGAAGTGGACCCGTGACCTTATCCAGACTGCTGTCGCTCGACATTCGCTCAGGCAAAGGACCTTGAGTTTGCTTGGCAGACATTGTTCGCCGAACCTGCTCAGAAAGGGACTTGGGCTTTTCTCGCTCGCCAACGTCGCTGGATGCGAGGTAGCACTCGAAAGCGAAACGCATCTCCGTGTCGCCGGCTGTGAGCGCCTTATGCTCTGGAGCGATTCCGCTGTGGTAGACGAATGCGAGGTCGAGATGGCCCACCAGTTTCAAGCCTTCCACGAGCTCATGATCATCTCCTGCACCATCTTTCGCGGCGGTGCACATTTCTTCGAGGACGGGTCTGAGCTTGCCCTTGTCTGGAGGCACTTCGGTAGCGGAGAACGCGCCCAGCGCATGCTGCTCCAGTTTTGGCCATTCCGCGGCAGAATAGAGAGGCAGGCGCTGCACAAGGGGCGTGTCGTCTGCGATGCGATTGAGCGGTGTGAGAGCATACGCATGCTTGTACTTCCTGCCCGGCACGCGCGAATCGCTGCGCAGATGGACGTATAGGAAGCTCGGGTACCTTTGCCGCACTGCAATGCGCAAAGGGCTCTTGAGAGGGAATTCGAAACTCAGCTGGTCGCTGTCACTCTGAGCCTCGACATCGTCCGTCTCGGCTGTGCCCCCAACCGTCTCAAAGTACAGGTGCGCAGCGCGATCGATTTCGACGTCTGCCCGTTTGATGCCGTGCACGCGAGCGGCAGAGACTTCGACAACGCCGACATTCCAGCCGGCCAAGGGGCGGGGGGCGCTCAACTCGACGGAGCGCCAGACCAAAGTGATGCGAATCTTTCCGAAGCCTAGCCCGCCGGTCAGCGTGTACCAGGCTCCTGAGCTTCGACTGCTGCTTTGGAGCACATCGGCTACACGAAGACCAACCAATCCCAGAATGGGATCAGACTCTCGCATGCGCTGGTCTCGTACGACAAAGTCGATTCGTGCTTTTCGCCAGTCCGCAATCCAGCGCTCCGTCCCAGCATTGATAAATGGGCGAGGATCAAGGGCTTTGGTTCGAGTGCGGAACACTGCTTCGTCGTTGATCAGCACTTGGACGTACGAGCTTGGGAATTTGGGTGCAGCTTTGCCAGTGGCCTCTTCGTTTCCAGTGTAGCGCGTCTTTGGTTGGAGCCTCTTGGAATTGCTGCTGTACGTGCTTGAAGAGCTATGCGCCTCGAGACCATCGATGGAATGGATGTGAAATGCAAGGATTCCGGATGGCCACTCCGGCTCTGGGGGTGCCGAAGTTGCTTCTGCGTCGCCAGCAATCATTCGGGTAAGCTTTGCT